TTGAAACTGAGATTTTTGATTGGAATTAGATCTATCAATTTTGTAAGAGAAGTGTTTATATTTCTTAATCCATTACCACACATAAGTAAAGGAAACATGCTCCAATTACTCAAACAAGATGGTAGGAATAAAGGATAACTTGCTTTTATAATTTTAAAACTCTTAAATTTAATATTGTCAACAACCACATCCACTTCCTCTCTAAAATTGACAAAAATCATCTTATTCCGTGTTAACCATAAAACAACGAATTTCAAATACCATAGGTTCTCTTTTGAGAAAGAAAGCTCTCCGTTGCCAACTTAATTCAACCAAAGTTTTAGAACGTATACCCTTTACATTCCACAATTTAAAAATGGACATCCACACTTTTTGAACAACCTCATATATCAATAAACAGTGATCTACAGTTTCATATCCTAAATTACAAAGAGAGCAAACACATTCATCATTTTGAAAGGAATTTCTTCCATAAAAGTTTAATTTACAAGGTATTTTGTTTAGAAAACTTTTCGAAGCAAAAGTTGCCGCTTTGGTTGAAAAAAGAGGAGACCATAGTCCATTCAGATTAAACCTGATAATAGTTAATTTAGCATAATATACTTCTTATTTGAATATTACCTATGGATGCCTTTTGGTTTAAAATGAGAATTTTCATATTTTCCATATATTATGCTAAATTCATTGGGAAAAGAGCTTTGGAGGCCAATTCTTAAAGTTTTGAAGAAATATACCAAGTTGGAGCTAAATTTCTAGGATATTCCTAGAAGTTGACAAAATAAGTTTGGGCAAGCTTAGTGAGAGACGCATCCAGGGCATATCCCAAACCCCTTGGAAGTTTACAAATTAAGCTTGGGTAAGGCTAACAAGAGTGCATCTAGGGCTGTTTGGGGATTTGTGTGTTTTCTTCTTTAATTTTGATAGGTCTTTGTGTTTTTTCTGACTTTAATGAGAAACTTCATCTCTATTGTCTTCTTATTATTTATTCAATAGGGCCCATTGTTCACTTTAATAGGAATGCATATAGCTAATCAATAAGATTAAATTTGTAATTATTTAATTGAGTTGATTCAAGTAGTAAATAATATAATTTGATTGTAACCAGGCTTTTGAGTTATATTATAAAAACTCACAATCTAATTTAAATGAACCGCACTTGTAGAGTTTGTTGATTAGGGCTATGTCTTTCTAGTTTTTATTGCAGCTAGTAAATTAAATTATAGCTCTTGTTTAGGGTTATTTGCTAGTTAGGGATTATCCTTAGCACTTGTCTAGTTTAATATAATAATATGAAAAGATTTTTTAGCGACGCTTGTTCAAGGATTATAACCTATCGACTTTTTGAATTATCGAATGATTCATTGTCAATGATCAATTCAGTGTCAATGATCAATTAAGAGAGTTTCGTACTAAGAATCACCTTTGACTGGATCTATTCCCCATTGACTTAAATCTTTTATTTTTATTGTACTCTAGTTTATTTTAACTGCCTTGCGATTACTATATCTTCTTTGAGAAACAACCCCCCCCCCCCCCCCCCCCCCCCTTTCTTTTTATTGTTTGATTTTCTAGTCCTCAATTAAGAATTAACTTGAATTAGTCTCTAGAGTTCGGCCCTTCTCACCACATTTACAAATTACCTAGGTTAGGAAGAGCAAAAATTATTTTTGGTGGATTCGACGCCCATCAAAACCTTACATTACCCTCATCTATCTCCTTATTCTCTTCTAAGGAGTTCAAAGATTTAACTAATACCTTTTTTTTGTTGAGGTTCATATTACTTTATCCTTAATGCCAATTAGAACCAGACTCCATTTAGATTTACTTTTAGTTGTTACCAATACGCTTCTTCAAAGGTCCTAAGGTCACGTATCCAAGTTGCTTCCCAACTTCATCTTTCATTAGTGAAAGAACTGCAATCACAAATCTTTTCTCTTTTATTAGAAGCTATTCTAGAGACAGCCTACGTTAAACTAAACATATAGAAATGTCCAAGTAACCAATATTCACTCCAAAAAGAAATTTGTTTCCATTAATTCAAATTTGAAAATATCATTAAGAGGTAACGAGTTTCCTGAGGCAACAATGTCACCGAATACGGTGATAGTTTCCGTCGATTTTCTTTATCCAAACTCTGTTTAAGCATAGCTTCAGAATCGTACTTTGAGATCAAATTTTTCTTCTAAAGAAAATTTGGCTTTGATTTGAATCTCCACCATCATTTTCTCAGCAAAGTTTTATTTTTCTTTTAAAATTGGGCGCCCCTAGCCCGCCATATTTTTTTGTTGAGGCATATTTTTTTCAAAGAAATCCAACACAAAGATTTTTTATTTTCAATACCGCGATTCAATTTAGGTGTTATGCACTTTATGGTTACTAAACTTTAATTTGTTACTTAAAAATCCTTAACTTTTATAATTATAACAATAAAATCACTTTGGTTGGATTATTTGATTTCCGACAAATTGGAAAGCCACGTGGATGACTTGGGAAATAAAATAGGATTTTTAAAATTTTTTTATGTAAATTGAAATCCAAGTGTTTATATAAAATATTTATCTTTTAACCATTAACTATATAATATGTCGAATTGTTATTGTTGTTGTTGCCCTTTTATGAAGAATAAATTTATTCTTAGCATTTTTTATTTATTTCTTTTACATATGTATATTACTTTATGGGGAATGAAATTTATATATTTGTTAAATTATAATTTTTATGATTAATTTGTTTTCTAATAATATAAAAAATTGGCAATAACAATCTAGATATCTATATAATCTTGAAGAAAAAAATAGTTTAAAAATGCTAACTTGATGCTCTGCTTTCTCAGCAATCTATTTTCCTTTTTTTTTTCAGAAATTTTTTAAGCTTTTTCTTTTTTCTTTTAGAAAATTTTGAGCTTTTTCTTTTTTCTTTTTTTGCATAAATACATTACCTATATATATTTTACCCTATCTATATTACATTATTTAAATTTAAATTATAAAGTTTTATCTTCAAATTTATTATTTTTCCTTTTTTAAAAAAATTTTAAGTTTTTTTTTCATAAATATCTTTTTAAAATTAAATTTCTTTTATACGTTATCTCCCTAGATTTTCCCTATCTATATGAAATTATTTAAATTTAAATTGTAAAGTTTTATCTTCAACTTTATTTCTCATAACCTACCTATTTTTTCTCACTTTTTTTTATGATCACAAAAGATTCCATAAGTCTCTTTCCAAAAAAAAAAAAAAAAAAAAAAGATATCGCATAAGTCATCTTTCCCAAAAAAAAAAAAAACAAAAGATATCCATAAGCAACGTGCGTGTTGCAATAGAGGTACCATTAAAAAAAAAAAAAAAAAAAGATTCCATAAGCAACGTGCAGTGTTGCAATAGGGTACTTAGTCAAGCACTGTAAGTGCAAGTAGGTACCAATAAAAATCATAGTTTGGATTTGGAAGAGTTTTTAATTCTGTGATTATGATTTTAATTTTAAATTGTTTTTGTATGAATTGTTTATCGATCTTAATCTTATAATTTTGTGCTGTTAATTTATGGTGGTGTCATTTTAACATTTTGTACTAGAATAAATATGTTGGAGGTGAATTGCCTATGTGTAACGTGAGAAATTATATTAAAAACATCAGCTCATGTGGACGAATTTATTGACCTTATAATCAAAGATGAAAAGACTAGAAATTACTATTGTGTTGTGCATTTGATGGATTTCTGCACAGATAAGCTTGAGAAGAGTCTTAGTATTAGTGCTGAGAGAAGGCAGCAAAATTGAACCATATACATATTCTTATTGTATTAGATGGTCTTAGGTGCTAAAATAAAAAGTATAAAATTATTGTATATAAAAGAGGATATAATTTTATTTTATGATAATATTCTAATTTAATACGTTTTGGTGGTCTAATTTTTTAAAATATTTTATTTATATAAAACTAACTATACCAATTAATTATCTAAATCTAAATTAAATGAATTAGTTTTAACTCTTATGTGAAGTCATAATATACTCTTAATTAAGTATTTCAGTGAGAAATAAGTTTTACGACCTATAACTAATTAAGAGGGATGTTTAATAATATCATTGAGTATTCTAAGTTAAAAATTTCAGCCTTATTATTAAATACAATAATTTCAAATTTACATATAATTCTAATTTTACATCAAAATTTCTAGAAACATAAAGAGTATCTCTGTAAAATATATGTAAAAAATTAAATGCCTAATAATTTAAATTTTTAATTTTGTTATCTAAATTATTAGAAATCAATTACAAGCCACCATTTAAAATAACTATATATAAATATCTTAATTTTTAAATTTTTTACTTTATTATTTTTTATTTTATGATTGCATTAATTAAAATATTTTATTAATTTGATAAACAAAAATACAATTCTATGTAAATATCAATTTATAATATATACAATTCTTATGTAAAATATCAAATTTAAATATATATATATATATATTATATATATATATATTATAACTTATAATTATAAATAGAATTAAAAAACCTTAAAAATTATAACATATAATAAAAAAATAACCCCACGCAGTACGCAAACGATTTATCTAATTTTCATTTTGTTTAATAAAAAATGGTCTTGCTTGTTAATACGTGGAGTCTTCCACGTTAGCCCACAACGTTATTTATAACTTATAAATTATAAATAAATTAAAAACCTAAAATTATAACATATAATAAAAAATAACCCACGCAGTACGCAACGATTTATCTAATTCATTTTGTTAATAAAAAATGGTCTGCTTGTTAATACGGGGAGTCTTCCACGTAGCCCACAACGTTATTTGTGCATATTGTTATCGGACTTCCCAGGAATGAAAAGATCAGTCAAACGAAATATTGAGACTTTAGTTTCCGCATATATGTTTTAAAGTATCAAAAACCAATTTCATTTTAAAGGGCAGAGTTGTCAATTGAAAAACCTTTGTTGACTTTTAATGGATAAAACCTGAAAACAGAAGTTGTTCTTGTTTCTTACCCATGATTTCTGCAAGACTCATTCTTCTCTCCCTCTCTCTCGTATTATTACATCTCCTCTATATTATTGCTTCTGCTGCTTAATATCTATCTTCCTTACAAAATTCCATTTGTATTTTACTTTTGGCAGCCATGGACGTAAGTCATAATCCATGGTTAAAACTCTCTGTTCTTGTTATATTCTTCTCTCTCAATTTCAATCTCTCTCTTTCAGCTGATAGAATCACTGCAAACCAATCTCTCTCTGGTGACCAAACCATTATCTCTAGTGGAGGTACCTTCAAACTGGGCTTCTTTAAACCAGGTAATACCTCTAACTACTACATAGGCATGTGGTACAATAGAGTATCGCAGCAAACCATAGTTTGGGTAGCAAATAGACAGACTCCAATTTCTGACAGATTTTCTTCGGAGTTAGCAATTTCAAATGGTAATTTAGTTCTTTTAAATGAGTCCAAAATCCCAATTTGGTCCACAAATTTGACATCCAATACTTCAAATTCTGTAGAAGCCATACTCCTTGATGATGGGAATTTTATTTTAAATGGATCTGTTTCAAAAGAGCCATTATGGCAGAGTTTTGATCATCCAGCTAATACATGGCTTCCTGGTGCTAAAGTTGGATTGAACAAAATTACTGGAGAAAACACACGTTTAATTTCATGGAGGACTGACGAAGATCCTGCTCCAGGTCTGTTTTCTCTTGAGTTAGACCCAAAGGGAACTAGTCAATATTATATTCTCTGGAATAATACCAAAGTTTTCTGGACTAGTGGAACTTGGAACGGGCAAATCTTTAGTTTGGTGCCTGAGATGAGGTTGAATTATATTTATAATTTCAGTTATGAAACTAATGCAAATGAGAACTATTTTACATATTCTTTGTACAATAATTCTATTATCTCTCGATTTGTGATGGATATTGGAGGGCAGATTCAACAACAGTCTTGGTTAGAACCTGCTAAGCAATGGAATTTGTTTTGGTCTCAACCAAGAGTGCAATGCGAGGTTTATGCTTATTGTGGCGCTTTTGGTAGCTGCTCTAGTACATCTCAACCTTTCTGTCACTGTTTGACTGGTTTTTATCCAAAGTCAGCTGATGATTGGAATTCAGGGGCTTATTCTGCTGGGTGTATTAGGAGGACGACTCTGCAGTGCGGGAATTCTAGTCTTGTTAATGGCAAAAGAGATAAGTTTCTGCCTAGCTATAATATTCAATTGCCTGAAAACCCAGAGACAGTGTCAGTTGGGAGTGCTCAAGGATGCGAATCCCACTGCTTAAATAACTGTTCTTGCTCTGGTTATTCTTATGATAACAATCAGTGTTTGATTTGGATTGGAGATCTTTTAGATGTACAGGTTTCTGATGGTAATCCTAGTGGAAAAACACTTTATGTTAGACTTGCAGCTTCTGAAGTTTCAAGTTCTAAGAACAATAAAGGAGTAGTTATTGGGGCGGTTGTGGGCTCCATTGTGGTTGTTGTTGTTGTTGTTGGCCTTGTTTTGTTTGTAATCTTTAAAAGGAAGAGAAGAAGCAACATGGGTAAAGCAGTAGAGGGTTCACTGATTGCTTTTGAGTATAGAGATTTACAAAATGCAACAAAAAATTTCTCAGAGAAATTAGGTGGAGGAGGTTTTGGTTCTGTTTTCAAAGGGACTTTGCCAGATTCAAGTGTCATTGCTGTAAAGAAGCTTGAAAGCATTGGTCAAGGAGAGAAGCAATTCCGCACTGAAGTCAGCACAATCGGGACAATCCAACATGTCAACCTTGTTCGTCTTCGTGGCTTTTGCTCCGAAGGAACTAGAAAGCTGTTGGTTTATGATTACATGCCTAATGGTTCACTTGACTTCCATATATTCCATGAGAAGGTGTTAGACTGGAATAGAAGGTATAATTTTGCGTTAGGGACAGCTAGAGGATTAACATATCTTCATGAGAAATGTAGAGATTGCATTATACACTGCGATATAAAGCCAGAAAACATTCTTTTAGACGGTGAATTTTGCCCAAAAGTGGCAGATTTTGGCCTGGCAAAGCTTGTGGGGAGAGACTTTAGCAGAGTACTAACAACAATGAGAGGGACAAGAGGTTATCTTGCTCCAGAGTGGATTTCAGGAGTGGCTATAACAGCTAAGGCTGATGTATACAGTTATGGAATGATGCTTTTTGAACTTGTATCAGGAAGGAGAAACTCCGAGCAATCTGAAGACGGAACAGTGAAGTTCTTCCCAAGTTTGGTTGCAAGGCAAATAACTGAAGGCGGTGATATCCTTACACTAGTGGATCCTAGACTAGGTGGCAATGCTGATTTGGATGAGCTAACAAGACTCTGCAAGGTCGCATGCTGGTGCATCCAAGATGATGAAACCCAAAGGCCATCAATGGGACAAGTGGTTCAGATTCTTGAGGGAGTCTTGACTGTGAATCTGCCTCCAATTCCAAGATCTCTCCAGGTTTTTGTTGATGAACAGGAACACATAATTTTCTTCACAGAATCATCTTCTGGCCAGAGTTCGCAGTCGCAATCACAGACACAAAGCAACAACTCAATTGCTTCTTCGCAGGCCAAGAGCAGCACATCATCTATTACTTCCAAGTCTTAAAAGAGGAATGACAAGTCAAGAACTTAAAATTATGTAATTCTGCTTTTGTGTAGTATGACGCTAGAGCCTAAAGGAACTGTAATAGTAGATGAGTTTTACTTTTTCCTTTTTGTTGGAGAAGCACGGTTGTATATTTTGTCAAAGCCAGTTTTAGTTTCTTAAATAATAATACTTGCTGCTGCCTACATATAAATTGTAACTTTTGTAAAAAGTCTCAACTTATTACTTAAATCTGTCGTCTACAAATTTTTGTTGCATATCACTCAGATTAAAATTTGAAACTGAAATTGAAATCTCCCAATTGTTCTAATATTGCTAGATTAACTGCCTGTTACCAAACGGTTTCAGTCAGTTTGGTAACTAGTACTTGACTAATTATTAGAATCAAAATTACCGGTTCTTAGCATTTGAAGTTACCATTCTTTCAGCATGCAATGGTTGTTCCTCACAAGGAAAACTTATAGCATCTATATAATTCCCTCCGGCTATCCAACATAAATGTTTTTATTGGTCTTCTCATTCAAGAGCTCGAACTTATATTATCAATCTTACAAAAATTGAAGTCTCTTAACACTTCAATCAACGGTTTGTCATTAACTTATAACATATATCATTGCTACATATTACTGAGAAAAAGTTCCAATCAATAAATTTCAAAACCATTAAGTGAAATTTGATTTCATTTGTTTGACGGTAAATGGTTCTTCAAAGTTAATCTTCTTAATAGGTTTAGTCTCTTTGTCGGCCAAAATGGGCCAAGGCTTTCGTCATTATTAATTTTCAACAGGGTGCCCGATTCTGATTGGTTCTTGTTTTTATTTTATGAATGCCATCTAATCTCAATTTCTTTCTTTCTTTTCCTTCCTGGAATTTATGATAAAAAATTATCAATAAAATAAAAATGAATAAGCGGTCAATATAGCTGTCTGAATTTTGAAGTCATGACTTGACTTTGACTATAATTTCCTGAACGTGTGGAACAGACATGACCATAAATTTCTGAGCGTGTGAAACAAATAAAATAGCTTATATGGTGTTCAGTTCCACCTATTAATCAAATTAATGAAAAGAATTTTTATTAAAATTAAGATATTTTTTACTATATATTGATAAAAAAAAGGATTAAGTAATAATAATTTTTAAAAAATTCATATTTTTATTGATTTTATCTATAAGTGCAGCTATAAACTCGACCTAGACATGTATTTTCCTATTTTTAAATCAGTCCAATTTAATTTTTATTTTTAATAACCGTTTGAAAATATAAAAAATATAGTCATATAAATAATTTTAGAAAAATAAAAATAAAAATTTAAAAAAAAATTATTTGTCAAAATAAGTATTTATATTAAATAACTTTACTCAGATACTAACAAATAATCCAAAAACTTTGATTAATTGTTTACCCATGTATTAATATATATAAAAAAAAAGAGGAAAGTTCAAAAGACAAATTCAAATTAACCTTCAATTAAGCAAAATTCAGTAATAGAAACAAGAAGCCATTTTATTTTTATTTTTATTTTTAATTTCTAGCATTTAATTAAAGAAAATTATTGTCTTGCTCCTCTAAGCAAGTTGAGTCTTTGTAGACACTCAAATTTTACCCATAAAGGCTCGATAAAGATAAATCGTTTTTCACATAAGTTTGAATTGGGATTTCCGATCGTCTCGGTTCTCGAACCAATGTTCCGTGGCTAAGAAAATATATCTATTTAACCATTTTTTACTTTTTTGGGTTACCGGCGTTTTAAGACGAAATCGGGCCTGAGAAGCGCGACGGATCAGCCCGATGTACTTCCCAGTGCACCGCCTTGTTTTGCGTGCCACCCGGTCCGATTTGGTAAAAGTGCGCCCCCTTTATTTTGGGCCCAACAGTGGCATTTTGCCACATCAGCCTTAAAATAAGGCCACACACCCCCATTTGCTTATAAATAGGGCATTGGGAGTATGCTAAGGAGGATTTTTCTAGATGCTTGGGGAAACTCTTGCTATTTTAAAACCCAACTCAAGAATCAAAGGAAACTAGTGTTTCTCTTTGATCTAAGTTGTGATTTATTGATTTTCAATCATCCAAAGCCCTAAAGGATCCATTAAAATCCCAGAAACAAATCTATTAAACCTTAATCTCGGATTGTTGGATCTAGAAATCAACCTTTAGGTCTCTTTATCCATTCTTACATAGAACTTTTAGGAAATCTTCAAAATGTAATAAATGAGAGCCTTTACTTCGTTTCTTCATCTTTTGGGTGATTGAACACGATTTCGAGCCTGGTTGTGAGGAAAACCCGTGATCAACCAAAGGGGATTTTCTGTATCGTTGTGGCGCACTGCCATTTGAAGTGGTGCTAGCCACTACGTGTGGCGTGCGCCACAAGCTAGTGGCTTGCTCCACTTCAGCACAATCCACTCCTGTTTGCTCTGTTTAAGTCTTAAGACCTTCTAAATTAAGGAAGGGCCTGGCGCTACTATGTGTGGCACACGCCACTTCTCTTGTGGCGCTAGACCCTTCAATTCAGAGGTTCAGAAATCCAATGCGCCACAAGCTAGTGGCTCGCACCACTTCACCACAGTCCACCCCTATTTGCTCTGTTTAAGTCTTGAGACCTTCCTGATCAAGGAAGGGCTTAGCGCCACTATGTGTGGTGCACGCCACTTCTCCTATGGCGCTAGGCCCTTCAATGTAGAGGTTAAGAAATCCAATAATCAATAAAATGGTCCCGATTCAGATATTTAGTGGCAAAGCTCCAACCTTAAATGGTCTGGGATGCGTTCTTGTCCATAAATGGATCAAATAAACATCAATAAACAAGGTTGAGAGTAGTGATTGGTATATTTGTTTATCATTCATGATAAACATCAAGGCCATGAACTCTAATCTTGTTCAAATCTTTAAATTATTGTCTTTTATATTCATGTCTTTTACTTTTAAGCACTTTAAATATTATGTCCTTTAAATTTATGCCTCTTTATTCATTGTATTATGATTATTGTTGCACTAACCCTTCATTTGTTAATTGTGTATTATGAACATACATAATTTAATCATTTAGTGAATGAATGAGTGCCTTATGTTTCTAGATGTATGATTTTGTTCTGTGAATGATATTTTTGATGTTGTTTGTGTTATATAGATGCTTTTTATTGCTTTGGTTCTATGTTGTATATTGGCGAAATGTAAGAGACCTTAATGAGTCTCATTTATTGCTTGTCTATAATTAATTAAGGGGATTGGAAATTCGGAGGGATTAATGGGTAGAATCTATTTTAGCAATTGGTATGTATTATTTTCTCCTCAACCCCTTCTTTGGATGTTTAATTTTACGTTATATGTGTTGTTAATTTGCACGATTGACATGACTTCTAAAATTACATAAAAAAGTATTTACAACTCAAATTTTAGTTAATGGCATTATTGAGTAATTGTGAATTAATGGACAACGAGAAGGTCGGTTTAGATCGGGCGATATGGGTGCCTAACACCTTTCAATATCGTACCTAACTCCCGAACCCTATCTCTGGTTTAAAATCAAGTTGGAATCGACTAATTCAAGAATTTTTCCTAATAAGGGTGGTGACTCTTAAAATAAAACTCTTACCAAAATAAGAGAACCTTTTCCTAAGGATCAATGAATGGGTTAAACAAAGAAAATCGATTTATTAAATAAAATCAATCAAGCCCGTTCGATTTGATTCTTTCCTTCTTTTGAAAAATAAGAAATATCAAAACTTCGCGTCCTCAGCCTGGCGACTCCGCTGGGGATCGAACCCAGAATCTCTAGTTTTTGGTTTTGGGTTCGAGTAGAGAGTTGACTCCAAAAGTTGTCCACTTATTCACAACCTTTAATAATGCTATTAACTTTAAATTAAGTTTATTTTTCTATACTTATAATTGTCATTCATGCATTTATCTCTTCTTAATCTCTTTTCTACCCTAAACCCTAAAGGTGGTATTTGGGGTTGTGATCCTTTTGCTCTATTTGACTGTTTGGATCCGCCACTAATATACACCACCTATAAGTGCTATTAACTTGTAAATTAAGTTTTATTTTTCTATACTTATAATTGTCATTCATGCATTTATCTTCTTTTCTTAATCTCTTTTTCTACCCTAAACCCTAAGGTGGTTTCTACCCTAAACCCTAAAGGTGGTATTTGGGGTTGTGATCCTTTTGCTCTATTTGACTGTTTGGATCCGCCACTAATATACACCACCTATAAGTCAATTACCTTTTGGTATATCAAAAGAATTTGCACAATTCGTTATCACAATTTGCTTAGACGTAAAGCAAAATGGAAGGAAACAGTCAATTCTCGTTGATGGAACCCAATACTTAATAAACTCGACCGAAGCTCATATAATTGACCATAGTTCCTTCCTCTCGGATTACCATAATAAAATTATAATTGTTGCATTCATACAATAAATGCAAGAGGCGTCAGTCCAAAATCCCATGATGGTTTATGGGCCCAACCACTTTGTCCTAGGGTTTAGAAGAGACCTTCGACCTTAAATCATGTGTGGGAGATATTAGGGTGGAGATCATGCATTTCCCTACTCCCGTTCTCCTTTGTTTGTATATTTGTTATGCTTGTGTTGTGCTTTATTCATGCATCACTTAACTTGTCTTACTGTAGCCATATAGGTATATTCTATTATGGCTCGATCCCAACATTCCAAGCGCCGAAGGGCGAAGGACTTAAGAGAAGTGCTAGAAGAAAAATGAGCAAATCGAGCTCTTTCCAGTGGTGACTACAAGGCCGAAGCCCAAATGCCTAAGAGGGAAGCTCCTCCGATTCCGACACCAATTAAAGAAGACCAATTAGAAGAGGCTCATCAACTTTTGCTTGAAATTAAACAAGCACAACTTGACGCCATGACTCTCTTTCAAGGTGTGGAGGTGCGTTTCACACTTATTCGCAATATCACCAACCGCCTTGTAGAAATTGGACACTTCATATTAGAGGATGCTAAGCCATATCAAACCTCTTAGGTTTTGAGGTTCAAGAATTGTAAATACTTAGTTAGGGCAAAAAGAACAATCAATGTAAAAAGCCAACTTTTAAAAAGTAATAAAATGAATCTATTCTGAGATAAATATTGTTAATGCCAAAAAAAAAAAAAAAAAAAAAAAAAAAAAAAAAAAGAAAGAAAAGAAAAATTCTTAATTTTTATATAAAATAAAGAACCTTGCTTCAATGATTATCAAC